AATTATATCTTAATTTAATAATAAGTTAAAATAATGATATTTATTTTAAGGTTTTAAAACTAATTATATTAATTAAATAAAACAATAATTTTAAAATATTTGAATCTTGTTTACTAAAATAATTTTTTTAATAATAATTAAAATAAATAATATCTTTTTTCTTTTTTTTCAAATTTTTTTCTTTTGTATATATTGTATATAACAAAACTTTTTAAAATTATTTATCTATTTATCATCTAAAATCATTATATAGATATTAATAAAAAATATATTAAAATAAAATCAATAGTTAATTCTTTTACTTTCTTTTTCAATTATTATTTTATATTTTGCTTTTACTAAATTTATTAAATTATTTGAAATATTAATTAGAATTTTATTTTATTTTTCTATTATAAATTGTTTTAATTCCAAAATATTTTTAGGTAATTATAATTTTATATTTCTTTTAATAATAATCCAATGATTTTTAATAAAATTTAAGTCTGAATTATTAAAAAATCAATTTATAATTTTGAAAAAATTTTTATTAACAAATATTTTAATAATTTTGCTTGTATATTTTGAATTATTATTATGTTGAAAATAAAAATTATTTTCAATCAATTCAATGATTTTTAATTTATGTTTTTGTAAATATTAACATAAAATTTTGTATCTATAATTTTTTTAAAATAAAAAAGAAAGAAAAGGATTTTTTTTTATACAAAAATTTTGATATAATATTTAAGTATTCTTTAACTAGTTTTGTATTTTTATATTATTAAGTAATTGTATTTCTAAATATTTAAAATATTGTTAATTAGAAAATAAAATTCTTTTCCAATTATAATCAAAATATTTCTTTGTTTAAATAATATAAGCTTTTTTATAAGTAGTAATAAGTATAAAAGTTTTCAAAAATAATTTATTTTTATAATTCAAACTTGCTAAATATCTTAATATTATTATATAAGATATTTTATTATTTATATTTAACAATTTAATTGACAAAAATTTTATAAAAAGATTGGGATTATAATATAAATATTGATCAATTGTTTTTAATTCATATAAAATAATCTTTTTAAACTAATCTTTATTAAATTTTCTTGGATTATTTTTTTTAGAATTTAATTTTTTAAGATTATAATAAATAATTGATATAATAATATCAATTCTGAAATATATTTTATTATTTTACAAATATAATATAATTTGATATTATATATGGTTTTAGAAAATAACATTGTAAGAATAAGTTTATAAAAAAAATAATAAAAGTTGAAAAATTTAATGATATATATATATTTGTTAGGATATATTATTTATATATTTAAAATTTCATATAAATTGATTTTGTTTTGAAAAAGTTATTTATATTTATATTATAAATAAAATTTTAAAAAATTTTATTTCATATTGTATTTGTATTATTTTTTCTTCTTTATTTATTATTATTATTTTTCTTATATAGTTTTTACAATATAATTTATATTTATAATTATGACTATAGAAATGATTTACAAGATTTAATTCTATTAAAGAGTTTGGATTTTAATTTTATTTATTAAAAAAAACAACATATCACTTTATAAATTATATTTAAAAACTTTGGCTATTGATAAGTAAGCTAAATTAAAAAGATTTGTACTTTGTATATATCCTTATACTTGTTGTAATTCTATAATTTAATAAATAAATAGCTTTTTGTCTGATTATAGACTATATATATATATATATTATTATTATTAATATTATAATTATAATATAAGTAAAAAAAAAAATTTTTTTTATAAACTATTTTTATACAGTATATAATTATATAAACAATATATATTATTTATTCATAAAATACATTAAAACATTTTTATTAAAAATTACAGATGATGTCTTATACTTGAAAATTTTATTTAATAAAATCATTTGTGAATTGATATAATTGGGTTTATCAAATAATTACAATCTATGGAAAATCTGTTTCAGAAAGATAAAAAAAATCTCCTGTATTTGTAGTTGAATCCTGATCTAATATCTTGTTACTTGTTACTGGAGACTCATGTATAATCGGGTTTTTTATTGTTTTGTCTGAGTAAGCAAACGGTGTCATTGACTGAGTGAAGTTGGTTACTGCTGAGCATGATGATGACATCAACTTGTTTGGTATTGGTGGTTCCTCCTCTATAGGTTTGTTATCACTGACGAGTTTGTCACTACTCAGGACTAACTGACGATAATCCAGAAACTTGGATTAGGTCGCCAAAATAGGTAAGACTTTAACTTTGAGGTGGATTACGATTCGGTTGAACTTCTCACACTTGTTAATCTTTTAGATTACAAGTGTCTTACACACGTGACCAAGGAAGTCACTCTTTAGTTTTAAAAGGTCAGTTTCTTTATTATCGTGACTTTCAATTTCTCACTTGAAAATTTAAATTGAAAGTTTGTTAAAGTCAAAATAACTGTTCTAAAACCATCGAATGTTATTTCTATTTCTATGCATTGGATACATACCGTATATATCCTCACGGTCACGACTCAATTATTTAATTTCCCGTCATTGTTGCGCGACGCGTGATCATATCGCGTACCTACCTCTTATTCTAAATTAAATGAATTAAATGTGATGTTAGGAATTCTGGAAAGTTCGATTACAAAATGTGTATAGTCACACACATATCTGTTTCGGTTATTTTTATCCCATGACACAGCAGAATGATGTTTATTAAATCTCATCGGGTATTCGCATTGATGGTCAAAGCGTATTACGTACTGTATACGCCTGCATATACGAAGGATGCATCAGTAACGAGTGTAAAGGCGTTGCATTCCAGAATAAGCAGTGAAATATCATTGAACCATGCCATAACGCATGGTCCCTACATTAACACATATGGGCACGCGCCGAATTTCTATTCTTTCACATCCCGGATTTACCATATCATATATGTCCATGCTTTCGTTTCCTCATTTCTTTCAAGACATCATTGTATGTATGTACTCAAATACTTTCTCGGGTAAATGGGTGCAAGGAAGAGAGGAGAAAATAAACCTTAGTAATCTGTATGCATGCATATCATTCTATGAGAGAAGGCAAACTTTTGCACAATATGAAATATTGGCATGAATTTCTCCGCATTGTTCAACCGTGTACTTTGGGTGATGAACGTAATCAAACACTTAACATTAGGTCATCTAAATTATAAGCGTTATATGCACCGTTTGATCGTACGATACCTCTATTGGTCACACAAGAGTGAACAGTGCGCCAACCCGAATTTGTTTTTCGAGAAAGAAATCAATAAAAAATAACAAAAATAAAAATAGAAATAAATAAATAAATAATAAAATGATAAATAAATAAAATAGATAATAATCATAATCATGACAAATACTGTAAATAGTTGATTCATCAATTGGTTCGATTCTTTTATGTCTTGTTTCGACTTCACAATTAAATTTTCTTCATTGGTATCACAGCGTTTATCCATCATCTATCACACCGATGATTGGAAAATTCCACGATGAAATATGAACGTGCCTTTTCAACCAAAAACTCGACTGGCCACGAACCATAGACACAAAAGGGCTATTGTTGTAAATAAAAAGGGTATTGTTCTTAAGCTTTCATTTGTTCTGGTTTGGGTGATCATATGAGCTCCAAAAGAATTGGTCTACCACCGAGGATCAGTGTACCATTTCCCCTCTATCTCCTTTATTCCGTTTCAAAAAGAACGGTTACGTAAGAAATTCGTAATACTTCTTATGTCCATCATTGCATGCATGCACGTATTGGTCAAGTATCATGTAATGATGAAAAAATAAATAAAATGCAAGGGTACGATTATTAATGTAGTTGCGAATGTTACGCTATCACAAAATGCCGATATTCTGTATCAAAGGAGAAAGTAAGGAGGGAAACACGCACATGAAAACCCTTCAATTCCTCATTCTTAAATACGATACCATGAAGATAGATAGATAATCAGGGTGCACATGTTGGTGAGCTCGGGAAATAATGGTGGTATCTGACCACACCCTTCATTACACAGCACGCCAGTGAGATTTTTTGCGACACAGGTTAATTAATTCTAAATTAGTGAGAAAGTTGAGTGTGGGGCTATGGAACATGGATTCACTCAAGTCTTGTTCCATGCGTGCATTCACTTTGGTTTTTTTTTTTTCCCTTGTTTATTTACTATTTTTGTTTCTTTGTATATATACAGTATGTACATATATACAAGCACGTACATGTATTAAAATTTAACTCGCAAGGAATGAATTAAAAGTAACAATAAATAATATGTTGATGATAATCTAGATCTCGTTCAAATTACTTTTTGTTGTTGATTATCTTAATTTTTCGGAAAAAGGTTGTGGGTAAATTCCATTTCTGGAACCTTAATGTAACACGAGATATGGGTCATGTGATCGTCTTTTGGGTGTAGGAATATTGTTACAGTTGCCGAATACGGATGTCTCATGATTTGGTGTGGGTCACACAATCATTATAATCATTATGTAAATTGCTTTATTTCGACCACGATCCGAAATGGGCAAAAAAAGAACAATAGAATCTGAAAGATGACAAATTTTATTTTCTTCCAGAGTCCGATCTTCCGAGAAGATCGTTCACGATCTCCTGCGTCCTCTCATTTGTCAAATGTGTCTGCCCCGACCAATTCATTTGACCGTCTTGCGTTAATCCGATTACAATAATTTCGACTTCTTTATAGGGATCACAGTATCTGTTTGAACATGTACTGCCTTCTATTGAGAATTATGGTATGTCGGTGAAACGTTTTTATTGGTATCCGGATTTTCTTCTCGAGTGTTAATCTCGACCGACTTTGAACAATATTATTTATTATAAAGGGGTGGGAATATTTTTCACTCATGATTGTCGCCTTACTTGCCGCGATGTCATTCCAGTTCAAAAGAGCTAGAGCTTGAAACACAAAATTTTCAAAAAACTTACAAATCCACGTACGTACGCTGGGAGATCTTTTCCATAGTTGGGGATCAATGAAATGGATACGAATTCAAGCAGGAGTTCTTTTACAAAGAACGACGTGGATGCGATGCATTTGAGTGTGATCTCGGGAAGTACGTAAAAATAAATAAAAAAACAAAAATAAACCCGAGTCGACTGATAGGTCCTCATCATATTTTACGGTTGTGATGGTGATACCCGTTCGCGGTGGTAACGATAATCGAAATGGATCTCTCGGAAGGGACAATTCAATGAGATCTACATTACAATTCTCGCTGTTGTCATCGTTATAAGCATAATTATCATCAATATTATCGTTCTCATCTTATCATTACCATCATAATCATAATCACAATCATAATCATCATCATTACCATCACCAGTATGTAATACCGTATTTTATAGTATCTATTGATGGTCTCATGATATGCAGGATTTTTTATCTCGCGATTTTATCTACGCAACATTTCCCACCTTGTTTGGTCGTGTGCGTGTGCGCACGACGCTTGCATCGCTCACCTTTCTTCGCATAGGCCACCATCGCCTATTCGGTCACGACCACGCGGAATTCAATTAATTGCATGCCATATCCTTGGTTACAGTTTTCCTGATATTATTTTTTTTTTGTAATACAAGTTTGATTTGAACGGAAAGGTGTAACTTTACAACTCATCGATTCCAAATCTGCGCCTCCAAAATGAACGCAATCTTGATTTTCACACGCGAAATGGTGTACGTACTTCCGGTGATCCGATTGAAGATGGAGTCGTGCACTGTTGGATTGCAATCAACCCATAATCAGTTGAGTGCAACGCGTCGATCATTCCGCAAAAAAGCGTAAGGTCACGGCATCGGGAAGAATATCTTGTTGATTTGGCAAAAAAGTTAATTATAAATACAGTTCACTCGTTGCTCAGATCGATTGATTGGTCTATGAACATACTGTAAGAGGATGTTTTTTTATTTTCTGTTTACCCTCATTTCGATAATAACATTAAGTAAGTATATACAGTACATGTAATTGAGGGTGGTACACCCCGGAAACATGTACAGAAATCAATCTTGCATCAGAACCCAATGAAGCTCAACACGTGTTCAACGAATATCATTAGAGAGGCACTCATGAGACACAAAATTTAGTTCAACCAATGATCGCAAGACACTTTGATCCGAATGTTAGCAGTGGACTTTTATTAACCAAGGAGATGAACGCGTACTCCGTGACCATATTAAAGTTTGTCACGTTCAAGATGGACGGTATCACGTCGCGAGATTATTTAAAGTTTGGAGAATTCATGATTCTTATCACCATCATCATCATCACCATCACCATCATCATCATCATCATCATCATCATCATCATCATCATCATCATCATCATCATCATCATCATCATCACTATTATTATTATTCGATCCATCTGCAAAGAAGAAAATGCTCTCAGGCGAGGGCGACCTCAATGATACGATTGAGGATGCAAGAGAATTCGTCATTCACATGCCTTCCTTCGCGGAAGCATTTCTTCAGCTTCATCGGTAATTCAATATATGGTTCTATGTTTTCTGTATCTACTACGTGCGACCATTTTTTTATGTACGCTGTATACATGTAAACAATACCAAACGTTCAACCTAAACCGGCTTAGATTCAACTTTTCAGAAATCACACATCCCGATAATGCTCATCAGGGTATTTTTAATTAATGCATAAGAGATAGGAGGAAATAGAGTTATATAAGATAATGCGCAGGGTAAATTGGTGATTGTGAAAATTGGTACTAGATAAACCGATGCGTACGCTGAAAATTCATTCTTTGAATGGACGAATGAATGAATGGATGGATGGATGAATAGGTGGGTGGATGGATGGATGGATGGATGGTGGGATGAATGAATGAATGAATGAATGAATGAATGAATGAATGCATCGTCGTGTTTATTATCTTGAATCAAGGCATTATTGACAAGAAGGATTATTGATGTTACAAAAGGAATGGCAAAATGAATGGAGGTGTAACATCTTTTTTTTTTTTTCATAGATTTTTTTTTTTCTCTTTTTCATTGGAGATAAAGAAGTTACGTCTGATAACAGTCTGTTTGTGGGATGCGTCTCAATGAGAACAACAATTCCCGAGAGGTGTGTGATGGAGATCACCCTTTAATTCTTGATGGAATGCAGGGAAAAGGGGTCGTTCCGCATACACCGTCATCAAATCAGGTGTCCATTTATGTATAAATTTTGGCCACAAATGTACAGTATTGATATAATCCATGACCCGCAATTTCAGATAATAAACTTTAATTAATTTATTCTCATACGATTTTCTTCCAGAATATATTTGGCCAATACAAATCTCTGCGGTTAAGCATATCCGGATAATTAATTTACCTAAACATCTGGTGTATGTGTTTCGGAACAATTGTTAGAATTATTTGTTGGGTAACGTGAATTTACTAATTCGAGTATTTGTTAACAAAAGAAATTGAAATGGAAGATCGAGCTGACTGGATCAAAGATCAAATGACTAACTAACTATCCATAGCTTTCTTTTGGTCATACACTTTTTGTACCAACAACGTCGGATTCTCTCTCACGAGCATGTAGATATCAAACGTAATCAATTTGAAACACACAAAGATTTTCTTGTTTTTAATATTTTTCAATTTTTATTGTAGATAATTTTGAAAAAGAAAAAAAAAATAATTTTATTTATGATCGAGAGGGTAACGGCGAGGAGAACAATATAAACGACGAAACGAATGAAAACGAAACGAAACGAAACGAAAAAAAATAAACACGTATTTGAACAGAACAAAAAACCATAGAATAACATAAGACGATCCATTTTGTCATCCCAACCATGGGTAAATGTGAAGAGAGAAATAAAGACATAAAAAGTTGGATGTTATTGATAAAGATCAAATCATTTAACGAAATTCTTAAAAGTTCAAAGGCATAGGAGGGGATTTTTTTTGAAGCATATGAATCATAGAAAAAAAGAAATCTTAATTTTTTGGGATGAGTTCTTGATCGTTTCAAGGAGTGTAAAAAAGTTGGATCAAAGGTGGCGAATGAAGGTTGTGCTCATGACCTGCTGACCACACATCCTTCCAAGTGTTGGGGTTGAATTAATATTAGGTAATAATAATAATAAGTAATAAGTAACTATAAAAGAAAAAAAAATAAAATTAAACGGCGATAGATAAATTAAAAAAAAAGAAAATAATAATAATAATAATAAAAAACAAAAATTTTGATTTGATTAGGCGCTTAGATGTCGAGGACCCGATCGCTATTTTCACAACCAAGGATCAATATCAACATCTCTATATTTTGAGATGAATCTAGCACCCCGAAACGTCCGGTGCCGTCAAAACCCGCAAGGTGCTACCCCGCCTTTTTTGAATTAAGTCTTCAAAGGCACGCATCTTTTCGGCATACTCAGCTTGCTTCAATGCCGCGAGACGCTGTTGTCCGTTGTCAGAGTATGAGTGCCTTCTTTGAATTGGGCTTGCTCGGTTCATCACCACGGGCTTTGGGGAGGGCTCTTTATTTGACCGTGCCGGTTTAGCACAATAATGGCTATAGTGAGAATGGGCTGGATGTGTAAGATCCAGCGCAACAAAAGACGGTTTCCACTCCTCGTTTGGAGCGACCGAAGAGTTTTTGTTGTGGTGAAAGATATTCTTCATCTTCTTTTTTAACACCATTTTTGTGTGGTGGTGGTGGTGGTGGTGGTGGAAAAAAAAAAAAAAAAAAAAGTTTTGTCTTAAGTTGGAAATTTAAGAATCCGTTCTCTTTCTATGATATTTTCAGTTATATTAATAGGGGGATGTCAGTAGTCATTCAAAGTGTGTGATCGTTTTTCTTTTTTTGTTGTTATTTGATAGAGAGGAATTGAAAAAAAAGCCTTGCTATTAAAAAAAAAAGATTGTTAAATCAAATGAAAGTCTTTGCAATCAAAAAGAAGGCGGAATTTCAAGACGCCGGTTGGTGGTGAGGGGGAGGGTTTTAAAGGAAGAATTGTTGGAGAAAAACTGAAAATTTTTTTTCTTTTTTTTTCCTGTTGACGAAAGAGCCATACTCTCTTTATAAATATTTTTTACTTTACAAATATATAGCAGCACCGCATAATAATAATAAAAAAAAAAATACGTTAATTTAACATAATGAGGAGTAAGTATTGTAATATACATATATATACATATATATATATATATTCATTTATTTATATACATGTTCGACTGGGATGTAATAAATTTTCACCGATTATATTGACTAGTGTAAGAACACCATCCATCAATAATAACATAAAATAAATTATTAAAGTATGTATTAAATTTGCATGAGAGTATTTGTCACATTGATTTGCGCAACACGAAACACCATTCATAAAAGTGTAACTTTCATGGGTTATTATACATACTCGACCGATTATTATTATTATTTTTTTTTTTTTTTCAATTCACACTAGAAGAAAAAAAAAAAGAAAAAAAAAAAAAAAAAAAAAACACGCACGTACGTAAATATTGGTTTGCTGATGTGATCTAAGGGTTAAATTAAAATCATGTTTTATTTCTCGTTTTAATTAATACTTGCCATGCAGTCTTAAGGTGAAAATAATAGATGGGCAGTCCGCGAGATGTTTTTTTTTGTTATATTGTCTTGTCGGTGAACATGGACTTTGAACATCACACACAATCAATGATAGTTCCTTTCCAGTATATGGGCCAACCAAATAACAATTACGCCAGACGTATTTTTTTTTTTTTTTTTTTTTTTTTTTACTTGGGTCGAAGAATTATTGGTCCTCCCGGAAAACAATCGGTCAGTGATTCATTTAAAATTACGTATCCAACTTTCCTTTTATTAACCTCTGTGGCTTTCCACATAAAAGAATGGTCATCGTCATTATTTTATTATTATTATTATTATTATTATTATTATTATTATTATCACTATTATTGTGACACAACAAAATGATTGGTTTCAAGCCACAACACACACCTTTTTTTTTCACCTATTTACTATTGTCTTAGTATCTTAGTACATAGTGCGTCCGTTCACAAAGTCGATGTGACTTTCCGGGATTACGTGGATTTCAATATAGATTTTTTTTTCTCCTTTGTTCATGGTTGAATAAAAAAAAAACATTACAGGACAAGGGTCTTTGTAAAGTAATGTTAACCCGTTTTTTGTATTATGTGTGTATGTGTCGATGTGTGTATAGACCGAGGTGTTATAAGCACCACTAATTATACACTATCTAAAATGTGACAGTTATTTTAGGTATTCATTCATTACAAAACCTAATCCCTTATTTATTTTTTTATTTATCTATATTACCTGTTTGTTTATATATTCGGTATATTCGGCTTACTGCATTCAAAACCAATTAACTATTGGGAACTAATATCCAAAGAAGCGCAATGGAGAAATCATTCATCAAACAAGTTTCTCCGATTCCCGTGATAATCTTTGAACTGGAAAATGGAGGGGAAAACGGTAAACTCAAACCAAATTAATTGGTGCAGTCGGGAAGAGTGTGAAAGTCAACCGTTATACCCAACGTCACGAGTCGTTCCATTGTGCCCAACTGTTGGGAACAGTTCATTAGGAAGCTCGCGTAGTTAGTTATTAAAATTGTTTCGTAAATAAAATATAGCAAATAAATAAAGAAGCAAATCACCATCACATAAAGTTCCAAGGAGATTAAATTTAGACTAGAGAATATAACCTATTTTACAACTCTAGTGTATACTTTTATGGCGGGATGATTCATATATACTGTATACATACATACATACACTGTACAAATAAATTACAGTATATTATTATTATATAGACGGTGTTCATATAATTGTTATTTTTCACAAAAAAAAAACACAATGTTTCAGGTTATTTTTAGTTCGGTCGCACCACAGTTGATTTGATAATATTGTTTGAGTCTCGTGATATTATTCTGATAGTTCAGCCACAACGTTGAGGTGGTGACTTTTAGTAAAATTTGAAATGCTCAGTCCAGTTTTCACACGTACGTTTTGCAATCTCCTCTAGACATCCATCCATCCTTTCATAATCCAACAACCTTTGATTTTTTCAAAGATCTCCATCCACCAATGATAAAAAGGATACCAGGCGTCCACCGGATGTAAGCACGGCGGCACGGTTACTGACGAATTCACGAATCCACCGATAGAGAGGGTTCTTTGTTTGTAAATAAATAAATAGAGAAATATAGAGATTTCCTTTCTTACCGGCGTGCTACAAGCGAGATCTCTCTCTGAATTATTTACCGTCCACATGGCTGGAAATGCGACGATGCTCAAGTCCGAATCGGAGACGGGAGTCACATGTACCATGGTAGAAAATTAAATTTTCAGCCACATTTCCTGTCCGTGAGCCCTGTTCACAAATATTGACGTATAATGATAGAATGTTTTTTTCTCATACGATTGGGTCGCATCCATCAGGGACGCGTAAAACAACAATAACACCATATTAATAATATAAAAAAAAACAATTGTCAAATGTAAACAACATATGATAATAAACAGACGTCATATGCTTACAAATAAAAAGAAAAAGAAAAAAGAAAAAAAAATAAATAAAATAAATAAAAACGTAGGCCATTTGCACCCTCTATGCGGTATGCTGATGTAATATCATTAAGAGAAGGTTTGGGGGGGGGGAGACTATGAACAATGTTTATTTATCATGACTAACTGGCGGCATCTGTTCCAAAGATGGAAGATTCATTGACGAGAAGGAAAACGAAACAAAGAAAAGAGGAAAGCCGTGAAAGCTGTCTTTGACCGCGTGAAATCCTTTTCATTTTTTAGTTGACTTATTCCATTATCGGAATTTTCTCGAGTTATAAACAACGCCCTCAACTCGATCCCAGGCTTCCTGCCGAGAGTATTGTGCATAAATTTCATGCATTGCTGAACGGACCACCACCTTATTCTGAAGATAAAAGAAGTTCTACATGAATGAAGTGTGATACCCCAACTGTCACACGGCCGTGCCAAAAAAACCTTTATGCCTAGACGAATGCCTATTTGTCAATTAAACAAACACACACACACACACTCGAGAACGAGGTTTACCTTAAATTATTTGATACGTCATTTCTTATGGTTTCACGGCCTGTTTGTTTTCTCATTGTTCATTTCACCACAATTTCAAATTTCGGGGTTGCCTTAGGTATCTTTTGTAGAGTTAGAATTAATTAGTTGTGGTCATTGTTTAAAATCGGTAATTACCATTAGTCTAGATATTATCTCCATGTATAAATAGATCATTCATATATAAGAGAATTCTCCCGTCAGAACTGAGGAGCTCTTTATCTGAATGCGGAAACGATCTTTGCTGTCATCTGTTACTGTTCATTTCTTCGCTGTCAAAATTTCCGACATGTATTCTTCACCGAATATATCTAACAAGAGGTTTTCACGACGCCCTCTTAAAAATGATTAGATTACTCGCCAGTTGACCTTGAACGCGTGCATCTGATTGGTTTTCTGTCTATTTGTTATATGCAGAAGCGTGAAATTTTTACAGAGAATGCCTCATGACTAAGAAAAAAAAAAGAAAAGAAAACTAATTTACGAGGATCGACATGGCAAAAAAAAAAAAACGAATGCTGCTCTAGGTTTAGTCGCCGATTCTTTACGTAATAGAACCTGCATGAAACACAATTCAATGTATTACAAAAGTGTACCTTTTTTTCTTTTTTCCTATACCCAATCTTTTTTGTTCTGAATGCGTTAATTGAAAATGTACAAGGAGATTTTTGGAATCCGAAACATCCGAATGACGAAATCCTTTGTGGAAGCTCGAAATTTCCGGTATACGATACACATTTTAGAATGAAGGACTGAAATAGAAAAAAAAAACCTCGTTTATTTTTAGTCCTCAAGAGGTTAGCGTAATTTGTGCGGTGGTCATCTTTTTATATACCGTATAGGAGAGAGTCATTGTCTCAAACGAATAATTCTTCTTATGCCAACGATGACTTCATTGTGCTTGAAAATTTTTTAGCTCCGCTCATCCTTTCCTTTTATTGACATCAAGGTATTACTATCACAGGTGAACTCATACTTTAACGAAAATACGGTTATTTGTGAAAATTCTAAAATAATATTTGTCACTTGAGATTGTGTGCCTCACACACACACACACACCTTCACTCCCCCGAATAAACGAGAGCTTGTCTGTGAAATGCCACGCAACCAACTTCTTGATAATGAAGATTCGCAATCAGGAAACGACGGTATACAGCACAGCACAGTACAGTACAGTACAGTAGTATGCGTACGTACATCTCGGACGTGAGCCCGATGAAGTCGGCTAAGATGCAAAGGGTATACCGTGAAATTTCGATTGGTCTGTCGAGTCAAAAAATTAATTATTTGACGTATCAAAAAAGTTTAAGTGTAATGCACGGTTACATCACGATATTCAAGAGGGAACGCCGTCGTCATCTGTTTGTTGCGATATCACCATTCCTTGTACCGTATATTACACAACCAAAGTATTGGGATTTTTAAAAAAACCATGGATTCATTGGTAAATGCGTTCGGAAAAAGCAAATTAGGTGTATACGTATACCGAATACACCTTATACATGTGCGTATAAAAGGCAAATTGGCCCAAATTGGACTTTTAATGTTACACGACCCGTCATCAGAATTCAAGCAATTGAATGAGTGGAAATATTCGGATCGAAAGAAAGTGACATGTTATTTTTGAGATACCGAGTCCAGACAATTACTTAGAATGATCAAGATCTACTTTTATTTATTTATCAAACTAAAATTTTAACCGAAATCCACGATTGAGTTTTTCCTTCCGATTCATATTTAGCAAATATGCACGCGACCAATTAGACATAAACCCGTCCAACCTTACCATGAGATACGGTATTCATGTACACAAGGTTCACCGGTAAAGTTAGCATCATTGCATGTCTCCTCCTTTATTTACTATTGGGAGGACTAATAGAGTAACGTCAAATTTCATATACAATCGTGTGTCCAATGTATGTTGGATGACGCAAGAACTAATCGATATTGCATACTTTACCTTGAAGGATGAAGATTCTATTGACATCAGTATGTCGTTCTGTTTTTTTTTCGTACATCCTGAGGTCACGACCAGGTGGTCATAAGGTTCTGAAAGATATGCATGAATCTTGTCCTCTTGGATCAAACATATGTCATTATGCTACCTTATATACAGTATATGATGTTTACTCTGCACCTTCTACCCCACAAAATGAATGCGCGTGCAACTGAAAGACCACAAATCATTGATCCATTCATTCATTCAATCAATTAATCAAACAATCCACCATCGGACAATCCCTAACGTTATTAGGATTTCAGGTTATTTGCTGGTAAACAGGAAACACATGAAACACAAGAACACGCACGCGTGAATAGGGAACGCCACATCATCTACTCGATGAAATTTCAGGGGGTCCGTCCAATATGTACTATGTACTGTTAAACCTATTGTAACACTCGTTTCGTCAAACCTAAAAAAAAAAAAGTTTTTTCTAAACTCATCGAACACGCATATATATACTGTATATAGATTTGGTAGTATTTGGTAGTATTTGGTGTAAGAGAATGATCCCGAAATGGAATTCCATCTACGGATGTCGACAAACGAACCAAAGTCATATATCCTCAGTCCAGTTTTTTTTTTTTTTCTTTGTCATAATCATCGCTTGACCCTCGTCTCTTCCACTTCATTCACTCCGAATTCGCCAATGTCTACGTTCCGATTGATCGATACGCGAAAACATTAATTCAAAATTTTGTAAATTGGTGCAACCAATTATTATTACATCATACCTGTGACGATCAGCCTACCACTAATATTAGGTCCCAAATAAAGCCACCAAAATAATAATAATAATATCAAATGTACAGGCACACTTATCGAAAAAAAAAAAAAAAAAAAAAACTTTAAAATTTTATTGGTGTAAATATTTACGCCCACCCCACATTTTACCTAAGCAAAAGTATCTTCTTCACATTTCATTAATCAATTGTCATAGATGGAAGGTGGGGGTGGTCATTAACCAGATATTACTGTTTCACGGTATATTATTCATATGTATGTTCCACGGTAAACAAACGAAATAGCGTACTTTGAGAAGAAATGGAAAGATTGTGTTTGATACCTGCATTGTATATTCCTGTCTTGAACAAGAAAACCGAGAAACTCATCATCAAACGGTCAAATAAACAACTAACCATTACAACATGTACTCTTTTTTTTTTCATTCACACCTCATTAACGGTGTGAATCTCGGATTTCGTAAAAACCCTATATCCTTCGGCGTGTGTTTTTTTTTTTTTTTGGAATTACCTGCTGTAGACCGTGGTGCTGTATGACATTAGATGTCAAACGTGACCATGGTGATTCCGGAATTTTATAATGCGCAAGTAAACAGGTAAAATTCGATGATACCTAATTTTAGAATTCCGATTCGCGTGACATATCCTCCATTTTCCGTGCATTATAAGATCTTGCCGTTCATCATTCAAAGATCGTAGATCGCCGATTCAGATAACTGGTTCGACGGCTTGATACGTTTACGCGTGTTCCACCATCCCAAGGTACAAATACCACTAATTTTATTATGTAATTCGTTTTCCTCTGTAAGTGTTCTACAAGAGCCTTAAAATCGTTCAATTTTGATGATTCGTTCTTACACCTCATTCACCATAATATAATTCCGTGTCACCTCAACGATCGCATAATCGGATGTGGATGATGATGAACATTTATTATTCTCACAAGAGTCCTCTAATGTAATTAGTCACCATTCACGCCGATGAAATGCGCATCGTCTTCAAAAAAAAAAATCATCCCTGCTTTTCTTTCTAAAAAACCATGACATAATCGTGTCGTCAAGGAGCTCCCCATTGATGTATGCACCTCAACGATCCGCGCATCTCGACCTGTACCGTATGCGACGAAAGAGGACTCCCGCAAGCTCAAATGTCGACTGCATTGGTTCGATATTCCTTGCAAAAAAAAGAAAAAATCACCCGTTGGCAAGCCACCTTTTTTTTTTTTTGAAAAAAAAGACAATGGACCATTGTTGTCTGTTGTCTATGGTTTTTTTCCTCTAGAGAAAAAAAAAAAAAAATGAGGAAAAGAAAAAAAAAATTTTTTTTTTTTTTCTAATTCCCATGCGCGCATAATGCATATATATTTTTGTGCATGCGTCTTCCATTACGTAATATATCTCTCCTATCGAATTGCTGATTAAACAAAGTATATTAGAGAATAAATGGACCCTATCAAATCATTTATTTAAATTAAAAATAAACGACAAGGTGATGCACGCCTTGCTATCTTATATGCATGAAGATACACAAAAACAGGGGGTGGGTATTGGAAGGGCGTCACCAAGCATTGAAACGCCTTTACCGGTAACGACAATAGTTCAAAGGAGATTATGCACGACAATTCATTGGATCATTTTTGGATTGGGGGAATGGGTGGCGATGGTCGTGAGATGAATGGCGACGGACGAGAGAAGTGAATTGCCCAAAGTGCATAGATAAGAAATGTAACATCCTGCATTCGTCATCAGGGGATGTAATTATCAAAGAAGAATTTTCTCCTCCCCAGACAAAGTCAGGTAAACAAACCTCGAATGAATGGTCATTGTGAAGCGACCTGAATGAAACCTAAAGGTTAACGCATTAAGGATAACCGTAAAAGGCGATGACTATCCGTGAATGCACGCCTGCGACGCGAAATAAACATGGGTTGTCGTAGATGGATGAATGCATGATCCTTTTGATTTTTATTATTGTTTGATGCCATTTAGTAAATTGAACTTTTGTTTTTTTGTTGTTTACAGCATATATGCGGTAAGATTGTGGGGTTGAGAAAGAATAACATAATCGCGAAGATTACCAAATATGGAAGTTTTGTCCTTTGCAAAGAAAAAACCCGAGCCTCGGGTTTTTTTTTACCGAATGACGGCTCCGGCTCCTTCGCTGAAAAGCGAATGGCGGGGTATAATGGTAATGCAAATTGGCTTTGGGGAACATTATTGTTTGGACCATGCATACGTGTGCCCTCACGCCTTCGCCCGTCGAACCGAAACAGAGTAAGTATCTATCTCGCGCGAAATGGGTGTCTCGGCAAATCTCACTACGCACGAAATGTAAAGGTAGTTTTCTTAAAGTACACCCACACGATAATATGCAGTATTTGTGGCTGGTTCATCTAAGCCCTTTCACGTGAATACGGCCACACGCACCACTGTGTTCCCACTGTTTGTTGCATCTTCATCTCGGGGAAGTGATGACAAATATCATCAAAAATAAAAATACACCCATGTGAACGAAAGATTGATGCCAAGTTAAATGAAGTCGGGAAACGGATTCGTGGAGGAATCGTTTCATCGACTAGATGTGATGTAATCATGACCTACTCTTTCCCTCGTTCATTCGTTCATTCGTTCATTTATTTATTTATTTATTTATTTACATTATTTATTTATTATTCATTCATTCACTCTTTCGTATACAGTATCCATTCCTTCTTCTGCGCTTTTCTCTTATCCACTCACTACTCAATCTCTCTCCCCTTACCCTTTTCTCATTCTCCCCCAATCTCCTTACTCTTCTCCTTACTCTCGTGCATACATGAAATCATTCAACGGCCATGAATAATGTCGTACGACTTCTGACTGCTATTTGAAAAGCACGTATACGCAGCGACACATTGAATCAACAGTCTTATTTGGTTGGCACGTGGTATTAAAAAGAAATATTTCTGAAAGCAAGATCGACGCAAATCGTAGGCTGAGAATCTGTGGTGCTCGTTTTTCTTGAAAATCGTTACCCATCTCGATTTCAGGTGACCTGGACCCTGATTTAAACTAAGGTTGTTCAGGACGATTCTAAAGCTGGTCGATCTTTGCGAAACCAGAGATCACTTTGAAATTCCCCAAATATAATCACCTATGGGTTATATGGATTTGCTAAAGCATGAATGATAGCTGACATTTTTGATGCATTATCGGTTTGATGTATGAAATTCCCAATTCTACGAGAAAATAGATCCCACTTTGGGTTCCGGTGTCCGTAATCGTGTTACATTTTGGCAATTTCAAATTAGAATGTTCATGATTAGGATCTCTTTGACATACTTTAAATTGGCTAGATTCCCTTTTTGGAATTAGAGTATCCCCGAAAGTGAGACGATTGTGGCACCAGAAGACATTCCATTCGTGGTTATGCGATTTTAGAAATGCTCGGGATAAATTTGGATTCATTGATCTAGTTGAGAGACGATGTCGGGTAACCTCGGTACATGTCACAAATGTATGATTAACAGTAAGAGGCGTAGGCAGAAAAGCACATACTGTACATTTCGTGATCATTTCCTCAACGCGAAGCGCCACGCGCGCCAATAATTCTCTATGTATTTCTCTCATCCATATTTGGAATAATTGGGAAGGCACATCTAGTAAAAAAAAAAAAGTATCGAGCAATGATGTAAACCGTGTCAAATTTGTTGTGCCTAACGACAAATGCGGATAGGCGAATGGGGAATGATTATCCAATGGTTTATTGCATTTACACAACGCGCGATCACATATTCACTTATCACACAAGCGTGCGTTTCTTGTGATCTTTACCTTCAAGCACACGTTAAAAAAAAATGAAGAGATCAATTAAACATAAACAAACAAGTGCGCGACGCACGATAGGCAAGCGTTAACCAACCGACCGATGAAAAAAATAGGAACTCGGCAGAAGCAACACCATGTGTGGAAAGCTCGTGACTAAGATGTGGGTGTATGGGTGAACCCCGGGTAAAATCAAGGAATCGTGCCCATGTGTCAAAAAGAAAAAGAAAAAGAAAATGGTAGTAATCTCCTGTAATAATTCCAAGAAGAAGGGTTGTTAAATTAATACGGTATTGCTATTGGGTGCATCGAATGAATCGATTACAGAGATGACACTGTAATAAGGTCATCGTACGATGATGACTCGGTGGGTGAAACCCGATTTGGTAAAGAAACGTTGGTAAAGGTGCTTCCACAAAATTTGCTACACTAAAATTATAATTTTTTTTTTTTTTTTTTTTAAATAACCAAGCAACTTGTCAAAATGGCGTCCTCCGCTTTCACGTGTGACCTGTGCGACTTCTCTGTCAACTTTTTGGGTAACCTGTCAAAGTATGGCATTCTATTTAGGACAAGCGCACCAGAAGGCAACATGTTTGATGGTAGGGAAATGCCATGTGACTTTTTTTCTAATCCCGATAACACACACACATAGCATTTATACAATCTGTTGGTTCATATGCAATTAATCAATTTACTTTTAAAACCGCTAAAAAGAAAGAAAAGAAATCGATTAGATCCTCATTATACTATATGTCGACAGAGTTTCATATTTATCAAATGTCTCAAATTTTTTATTATTACGATTCGCGCACATTTGGATCACCATGGGGTAAATATGCTGAGTGCACATGTCACAATCTTGACGTAGTGTAACCAACCTGTCAAATTTTCCTTTCACCTTTATTAGTTTGAGACGTGAAAGAGTCAAGACAAACGATAAAACCACTAGTATTGTTCTCTAATTTAATAATAACGGTGATTCCTTTTTTAAAATTAAACACATCTGACGCGAGTCGTACCCATCATTCGGTGACCCACCTTTCACACTTACAGCTAACGGAAGGATCGACGCCCAAGGTTTTTTTTTTGACATTCCGTATCTCCTTAAAGATAGCCACGTTTCTTTGTAATCTATTATTGCCTTTGATCCGATTTGATGTAGTTGAATAATGCATGCAGTCAAATAAGGAGATTTTACTTCCGATAAATGCGATAACAAGCTTCATTTCACGGCGATGGCATTCGCTGAAAATTAATAATTCCATGGGAAAGTGATTAATAAGCCAATACGCACTGAAAGATTCACAAAACTTAAATAAAGGTCGTTGTAAAACTTGAGCTCGTCGGATAAAGAAATGATGTTCGAGTGTATAGAGGGAATTGTTGTTTACCTTCCTATTGCGATTCAATTTTTTCTTGCATTCCGTAAGATGGTAAATAAAAACGGGATGCAGAATCCGTTAAACTCAACAATGTAAGTGGTACTGCAAGTTAAAAAAAATTGGGAATTGTGTGTCATTGTATAATGGTCGATCGATGTTTGACAAATTTCAACTTAATTATTCCCAATTCGTAATGTATTAAAGAAGGCGAAGGATAATTGGTTCGCTATTGATAGAGAAAAAAAAAAAATTTTTTTTTTTTATTGGCATAGTCGAAAGGTCTAATCATTCAAGGTATTGCAGCATGATGTTGAGACAAAAAATAAATATACACTAGAATGGTTTGGTTTTACATTACGATTCATAGATTGAAATCGCTGGTTCAACTTCTCCAAAAATATATACTGTATATAATGATAATAAAATAATGATAGGATTTTAAAGAAATCACTTTCAGTTGATCAATCCATTTTTACTTTGTTGTCTCGACGTATGAAGTTTCACGACTCAGACGCATCCGCCGACGAAGAATCATTGATCAAGAATCCTGCGTACGGATTAATGGGAATTTAAGTGGTCTAAACAAAGAACCCGTTACGCAATAAAGTTACACGTATAGTCATTACCAAAAGGATTTACTAATGGGCTGTTATCATGTGGAAAACTCAACAAAGTGTGCAATCATCACATTGCATTCTATCATCGTTATACTCTAACTCGACCGATATTATTATTAGGTCACTTTACCATTGTCACAATGTCACTAGATGCTCGGCTTACCGGATGAATTTGTTTGCATATTCGGAAAAAAAATCAAATGGCTTGCTCTTGGCTTTGTTTTTTTTTTGAAAGCTATTCAAACCGGATATGTCAAACTGTTACGTAGGTGGCTTCGGGTGTGCGTATAAGGTATTATTATTTCTCGATTCGAAACGATCAATGACCTTAAACCTTTACGACTAGCATCTCATTTGTGATGTACTGTATATTTACTTTAAAAGAAATCATTACTTTCTTGGTAGAATAAGTTAATTCGTTAGTGATCTATTAAAATTACTTGGATGGTTTTCACGGTCTATACCAAAAATTTAAAAGATATCCCGGGAACGGTTGGGTTGTTCCGTGAAAAAGTTTTCGAAAATTGGGGGTTAAAATATAACTAATCAATCAACTAATTAATTGATTAATGTACTGTATATTTGCTCTTTATTTGTCATCGATTTTTCCGAATATGTGGTTTCTATTTTTAACCCATATAGTCTAATTATATCAAGTAGTGTATGACCTTTTTTTTCTAAAAAAAAAGGAAGAAATTATAACTACTTTATAAAAACAAATCAACAATCTTTTATTATATTTTAAAAAAACAATATTCTGATTATAATTATAAATTTTGAATTTAGTTTTTTAAATATAAAACAAATTAAAAACCCTGTCACCATTTTATTAACTTATAATGCAACGAATATATAAAACGAATATATAAAACGAATATATTAAACGAATATATTAAACGAATATATTAAATAAATATATTAAAAGCTGATTTTATTTTTTATTTATAAATACACGAATTTCAAACATACAATATACAATATCAATTTTTTAAATAAATAATTTATTTTACTTTTGATTAACAACATAACAACATATTTATTATATACAGTATATGTGTTTTTTATTTTTAAATATCATGTTATTTTTTATTAGATACAATAATTCAAAAATTTAATTATAATATATCACAAATATATAATTAATATATATATACATATTTATCTATTTATGTTTTATTTTATATTTTATATAATATTTGATATTTGATATTATATTTAATAATGTAACTTAAAACATTTAATTATTAATCAAATAAAATCCCAAACATAAAATTTTATTTATTTATTTATTTCAAAAAAAATTTTTTTAATAATAACAAATGTTTATATGGATTTAAGAATTCAAATTCAAATTGTATTAATCTATTATTAAATGTATACATGTATAAAATAAAATTATTTCAAGTTATAAATTAAAATAATTTATAAATAAAAATTTTAAATAAAATTATAATTGCAATTTTAAATATTTAATATATACTGTAAATATATATACAATATATAATACTAATTAAATGTAATAAATCTCTCTTCTGATCGCATCTGTTTTGTTAAAAATTTTTCTTTTATAGTAATTTTAAGCAAGAAAAAATGCTTTACACTCTTTATTACAAGTGAGCCTCAGTTTAGAAACTCAAGAATCTTCAAGACAACTAGTGCAGTAGGATAGGACCTCTGGTCAAAGTCTATTCAAGTTTGGAAGTCTTGCTTATTCTTTGGTTGCATAAGAAAAGGCCCATGACAGTTCTTTTTTCTTCAGTTCTCTTGTACCCCACCTTATCCTTATTATATTATAAAAACCATATATATTATTACTATTATACTCGCTAAGTCAAACACTTTCCAAAACACATTTACAAACAGAGTTAGTGGATCTACTGTTTGTTTTAAATCAATCTATATACACAATATTCTCGTAGCAATAATTGCTGCGCCATTTTCTTTTTTCAAAAAATTTTCATTCAAAAAATTAAAATCAATTTACCCCTCAAGATGATCTGCACTCCTCAATTATCCAATCAGATTTCGTCTAAAGATCAAAACAAAACTCGATCAAGCTTAAACAGGTTTTGTATCACAACAATTATCACAACAACAACAACAACTAATACACTACCAACAATTATAATAACAAACAATGCCACATATACTCTATTATCTATGGTAACCAATGAGTTGGAAAGATAGAACCACGAGTTTGTCTGGGGACTTCCGAGGAGAAATAATAGTTTTCTACCTATAGATTATAGTTTACTTAACGTAGTTCTAGCTATAATTACTTTTATTTTTTTTTTCAATTTTTTACATTCAAAAAATCAAAAGAATTCATAAAATTTTTTGAGTAGATAGGTATAGCTGCTATTCAAGTATAGCTAGTATATAGTATTGTTTTGAATTTTTTTTTCAATATTAATTAGATATGTTCGTATAGGCAGACTAGTATTTAACTTGCTACACATGTATGTAAGAGATATTGTTTTTTTCACGATGTATACCATATTATATACAATATCAAATAAAGAAATAATACTTACCTATGAGAGGAAACCCCCCAAAAAAAAACAAATTTCAATATAATTAAAAAATTTTATTAAAATTATAAAATTTTTAAAATTTTTTATATTTATTATATCTATAATTAATTATTATTATTATTATTATTTTAGGTAGAGAAATATTATTTATTTATTTAATTTATATATTAAAAATATATTTCATAAAAGAAACAATATCTTTTATATATAAATACAATAGGTTTAATATTAGCTTATTTATAAAAACCAAATGACCAATATTGAAAATAAAATTTAAAACAATATATCTTATTAAAAAATACTAAATAATTATAAATACCTATTCAATACTAGAAAAAAAAATTAGTATAGCTTTAAATTAGTTTAGTAATATATTAAGAAAAGTTAAAATTGTCTTAAATATAAGTTTCTATAGTTAAAATAAATAGATCAATTGTTGTTAATAGTTCTTATATCAAAAAAATTTTTTGTAAACTTGGTTTAAAAGTTGTTTGATTATTCTTGATTATATTAATAGAGAATTTTTCTTTCTATTTTATACTATTTTATAAAAATATATTGATTATAATATATTGTAATTTCTATATAATATTATATAATTATATTAGGTTTTAATTGATGCTTGGATCCAGATATTAAAGTCTGATAAAAAAAAATATTATTGATAATACTATATATTAACTCTATAATCTATTATATATAAGTTATTGGTTTTGAATTTTTGTTAAAATAGATAATAAAATTAATTTGTTTTGATAATTTAATTAATTTCTTCTAATATTATTGAATATTTGAATACATGTTATATATTTTCAATATAAAGTTTATATCTTAAACAATATAAATCTAAATATTAATCTGAATACTGTAGATAAAGATTTTTTCATGTAGAAAAGTTTTTAATAAAAGCTTAATATGAAAGATAACTAGATCACTATATTTGTAGTCTTATATATTCTTCAGAATTTTATTGAATTTGTTGATGATTTTAATATTATAAAGATCATAAATAAAGTCAAATATTCTTAATATTGATAAACTTTTGGTTATTATATATG